AGAAAACATCACCATGAAAACTAACCTCGTAACAAAGATTATGCTTCCTTCATTGATTCACATGTTATTGAAGAAATTAAACATTGTTTTTTTTAAACGCCTAACACAAACACCCACTATTATTTCTACCTCATTTTTATTAAAAGAAACCACATAAGCATTTATAACAGGTAAACCTAGGCTGCCGGAAAAGAAATCTTATAAGATAAAAAAATATATATTAAGTAAATTTTCTTGAAGGGGTAGACACGTGAAGTATAGCATCGCTCCTGATAATAATACAAGATTCTCCCTCGTCACTAATTCCATCATTTTGTCCTATTAGCTTCTACTTTTTAAACCTTTACTTTGTCCTCCATGTTAAGATTTTTGCCATTAGATTATACTTTCTGTCAACATTTCATGGTTCTTCGCATAAACTATTCAACAATGACTGATTCATTGTTGATCGATTCATAAATACTTTCATAACGACAATTCTTGCTTTACATTATGCATTCTAACCGTTGGATCTATCTTGATCTTTACCGAATAGCTTCGTTTTTGTCCATTCTAATTGTTCACCAAATTCACCAGAAATGCCAGATGGAAGTAGCAACATCAATACCAATATCATGATTCGATAATCAAATTATAATATTATAACTTCAATAACGACTTGTACCTTGAAATCATCGACATCACTACCACTAACATGGCCGGTGAAACTCGCAATAAATGACACCATTTTCACTTCTCGATTTACGTTCAAAAAGATGAGTTTCTCATTCTCACCACCATCTCCGCCGCTCTTCAATCTAACACAACCCTTTTCATTCCCTCCGAACTTGTTACCCGACGAAGCAAGCCCAGAATGGATGAACAAAGCCGACAATGCATGGCAGCTAGTGGCGGCGACGTTAGTCGGCATGCAAAGTGTCCCAGGTCTTATAATCTTGTACGGCGGCGCTGTGAAGAAGAAATGGGCAGTGAATTCTGCTTTCATGGCGTTATATGCCTTTGCAATGGTTCTCGTTTGTTGGGTATGTTGGGGATACAGGCTTTCTTTTGGTGATAAACTTGTTCCTGTATGGGGAAAAGCCTATATTGCCCTTGAACAGAAGTACCTTCTTGAACAAGCTTATTTAGGAATGTTTCCGAATGCGACTATGGTGTTTTTTCAGTTTGTGTTTGCAGCGATCACTTTGATTCTGATTGCGGGGGCAGTTTTGGGAAGGATGAATTTTTATGCATGGATGTTGTTTGTTCCTTTATGGTTGACTTTTTCGTATACTTTTGGTGCGTTTACTATTTGGTCTCCGGAAGGTTGGCTGAGTAAAATGGGAATCATTGATTATGCAGGTGGTTATGTTATCCATGTGTCTTCAGGAGTTGCAGGTTACACCGCTGCTTATTGGGTAATTCCTTGTACTTTTGGTAAGAGATGTGAAAAGAGTCCAAAACTACAACCGAAAAATTAAATATTTTCTAATTTTTTTTCTATTTATCTTGGTACTCTTATAAAACAATAACATGTACTTTTTTTTTCTATTTATCTTCGTACTTTTATAAAACAATAACACGAGTTATCCATTAATTCTTGTTCTTAATTTATTTTTTTGATTTTGATACTTACCTGAATCTAATGATAAGAAGAACAAAAGATAGAAGGATATTTGATTTCTCTTAAATTAATAAAAAAGAGGTTTCAAACTGAAACTTATTTCCGTCTAAAAACAACTAAAAAGTCTTTAAACAAACCAAAAAGAATCCTAAACTAGTTTAAAACTAAAACTACTATGTGAACAAACTAAGATCTACCCTAAATTGGATTGAAACCGGTGTTAAAATCATAAGAGGACAGAAATCCTTCTTAGAATGATACTTTTATTAAAAATATAATAGATAAGTTTCCTAGAAAGAAACATTTTGAAAAAACCTACTATAATATAGATATGTATGTGTTTTGGTATGTTGAATTGTCTTTATATGAGAAATAAAAATTTAATTAGAAAGTTTTCTTATAGTGGATGTTTAAAATTATGTTTATACTTTATAGTCGGAGTAGACGCATGACAAAATCTCAGGGTACTACATATGATTTTTGAGGTGGCATACTAGAAAATTTATATTACGCTGGAAAATTTCTCAAAAAAAGTACATTGTGTTGTAAAATTTGAGTGCTTTACCGGCCACCCTGGTAACCCTCTATGTCTGCCCTTAACTGTAATTGAATGTTATATAAAATAGTACTAATATGTTTTTTTTAATATTTATTCCTTAGTAATTATTGAATTCTTATACTAAAAGTGTTCTATAGAAAATACTAAAATTTATTTTTTGTCAAGAAAAATCCGGCAGGATAAAAAAGAAACATCGGACCAAACTAAACCAATAAAAAGGAATGGTTTTGTTTGTTCAAAAAACTAGACCATGTAAGACCGACTTAGACTAGTCTTTAAGCATCTCTCTATTTTAGTATCTCTTTCTATTTTTGGAATTAAACATTTTGTACATACAGGTTGGTCCTAGGTTGACTGCGGATAGGGAAAGTTTTCGTCCCAACAACATGATACTCATGTTAGCCGGTGCGGGTTTATTATGGATGGGTTGGACCGGGTTTAATGGTGGAGCCCCATATGTCGCAAGCATGGACGCTTCTTTAGCTGTTTTGAACACTCATGTATGTGCTGCTACAAGCCTCCTCACGTGGCTCATCCTCGATATCATTTTCTTCAAGAAACCCTCCATTTTTGGTGCAGTTCAAGGCATGATCACTGGTCTGGTTTGCATAACACCCGGAGCAGGTACTTATAATTTATAACCCTCTCCCTCCAAAGAAAAGTATATACATATATATATATATATATATATATATATATATATATATATATATATATATATATATATATATATATTTTGTTGGATAAAATAGAATGGACAAAGTAGTTGAATAAAGAGCCTAATAAAATGAATCATTATATTGTTAGCTTGTAGGAAATGAATGAGTTTTCATTTGAAATTTGGATATCATAAATGGGTTGCACTTGTTTTTTATAAAAACATCATTGTTTTAAAACGTATCATCAATATGTATGAACTAATTGTTTTGTTCATAAAATATCATCAAGACAACAATATTTTGTGGGGAAAAAGTTTCAGTTGTTTCGCTTTTGATACTATTTTTTTTTTTTTTTTGGATAATGATATTTTGTGGAATACACAAAAATAGTTTGTTATTCATTTATGTATATTAACCGACATAGTCTTAATACTATTCTATATATTACTTAATTATAACTATAGAATTTATTATTTACAAACCAAGAGATCTAACGTGAGACTTAATGTGTGATAAAAGGTAGTTAAAACCCAAATGAATTTTTTTTTTTAAAAATCTGGCCCTCTTATGAAACTAATCACAATTTAAGTACAATAATGAATGTCTATAAAAATACTTTTATTAAAAATATTACAGATATAAATGGATCACATTATAAATTTTTATTACATTCTATAATGGAATTTAAAAATAAAAAATAAAATAAAATAAAAAAACTTTAGTTAACAATTGAAATTAAAAACGGTCAATTTCTTTTCCTTAAACAAAACAAGTTTAATTCTTTTATTATTATTATTATTATTATTATTATTGGCACTACACTCCTATTCTCTCGCACAAACACTACATAAGGCTTTATTTGTTACACGAGACATGACTAGATGAGAATGAACCAGATGAAAATTGATCAACAAACCCCTTTAGGGCTATTTTCGATCTGCAATTAAAAAAAATCATGTCTTTTGCACAGATCAAACAAGTCTGTCGCACATTTTTACGGGGAAAATGTATTTTTTATCTCATTAACATCTGTCTCGTACTAATTTGATATATAACAAACACACTAAAACTTGTTATGTTCCGTTTTATATTGTGTCCTCATGTGTAACAAAAAGACCTAAAATTTATCGTGTGTGTGCTATTGTACAACCCCATGACAATTTCTGAAATCTTTATATTTATAGGGTTAGTGCAAGGATACGCTGCAATTGTTATGGGAATTTTCTCTGGCTCAATCCCATGGTTCACAATGATGGTATTGCAGAAAAAGATCAAACTGCTCCAAAAGGTGGACGACACAATGGCGATGTTGCACACACACGCCATTGCCGGAATCTTGGGTGGCATTCTCACCGGACTCTTCTCGGAGCCTCATTTGTGCAAACTTTTCTATGGAAGTACAAGTAAATACATGGGATTCTTTCATGGATTGCACCTCGGGACATCACAAAGCATCTGTTTAGGATTTCGACAAATGAGGATTCAATTGCTTGGGATTTTGTTTGTGATTGTGCTTAATATTGTGATGACAAGTTTAGTGTGTTTATTCGTGAGATTAATTGTGCCTTTGAGGTTGTCTTATGAGGACATGGAAGTTGGAGATGAGGCAGTTCATGGAGAAGAAGCTTATGCTATTTGGGAGAAAGGAGAGATGGTTGGAAAATACTCGAGTTATTATAATGATATTGAAACCCCAAGTAAGAGTGGTATGATTTCGGTTGAATAGATGTGAAAATTAGATAGATTTTCAAGTTTATGAGTTCTTGCAAAAACATTATTGTCACACTTGAAAACAATAATCAGTTTCAAATGTATAAAGTGATTTTGATATGTTTATGTTGTTATTTGGGGGTTGAATGCAAGGAATAACAATGCACTTTCATTTGATTGTATATAGCGATTTTGATATAGTTATGTTGTTATTATAGCATAGGAAAACAAAAATTACATTATTACCCTCCTTTTTTTTACCTTCTTTGAATTACTTTTCACTCAGCTCTCTTATAGTTAACAACACTATAAGAAGAAAAAACACACCCGATGGCGATTATTACTCAAATACCTAATATACCCTTTAAAATTATAGTATAACAGAATCTTGTAGACCAAAATCACCACTATTATAACAACTGTACAACATAGAACCAAAACCAGAAAAAAGTACCTTACAGAATTTCTGTCATGTTGACTTGAAAGAAGTTGACTCACCCTCTTTGACTTTACCCATAACAAGAATATCATAAGTTTTATCATCGGGTACAAGACCTCTATCAAGCATCTCATCATGCAACTTAAAAGCCTCTTGCAAATTTCCTTCCCTAAAATACCCTCCAATCAATGAATTATAAATAACCACATTAGGAACCCTACCCTCCCTACCCATCTCTTCCAAGATTTTCCTTGCATCTTCTAGTTGACCTTTGTTACATAAACCGTTGACCAAAACCGTATACATAATAACATCTGGCTCTATATTCTTTGCAAGCATCTCTAAATACAATTCAGAAGCACAAATTATTCTCCCTGATTTAAGCAATCCATCAATCAATGTAGTGTAAGTAGCCAAATCGCATAAAATCCCCTCATTTATCATCTTTTTGTGAAAAACAAGAGCTTGTTCTATGTTATCAAGATTCCTAAATCCACTAATCATGGAATTGTAAACCGTTGTATTTGGAGATAATCCCACTTGACGAATCTCATTAAAGATTTCATTTGCACTTCCCATGTCCCGATTTTTGGAAAATCCATCTATCAAAACACCGTATGTTACAATATCTAATTCAAGTCCTTTGTTTTTCATCTCATTTCTCATTTTCAAAGCAAGATCCATGTTCTTGAATTTGCAAAATCCATATATTAAAGATGTGTATGTGAAAACATTAGGGGTAACACCCGATTCATGCATTGAAGTATAAATAGCTAATGCGGAATTAAGACTACCCTCTTTGATAAATCCATCTATAATGCTATTATATGTCATACAATGTGGATTGAACCCCATTTTCTTGACTTTTTCCAACATTAAACAAGCCTCGGATGTTTGACCAAGTTTGGATAAACCTTTAATGAGTATATTGAACGTGTAGTCAGATGGAAGAAACCCTAACTCAAAGATTTGGTCAAAGATAGTCAAAGCTTCCTCCTTTTTGCCTTTCCTAAAATACCCATCGATTAAAATACTATAAGTGACAACATTAGGTTTCAAACCATTTTCTTGCATCTTGTTAAACACATCCAATGCAACATCCATGTCACCACTTTTGCAATAACCGAGTATAATGTTGTTGTATGTAACAATACTTGGAGAAACTCCATTTTTCATCATCTTTTCAAACATATTATAAGCTTCATTCGATTTATCCACTTTACAAAACCATGAAATAAGATTGTTGTATGTGAATACATTTGCAATACCACTTTCAATAGCTTCATCAAAGAGGTTAATAGCTTCTTTTATCAAACCAGCCTCAAAATACCTTATTATCAAAGAATTGACATTGTAAACATTTGGTTTTATACCTTCGTTTTTCATTCGGTTGTATAATTCAAAACCTTTTTCATAATCACCATTGTTGAAGCACCCTTCAATAAGAATCGAGTATGTGATCCTATTTGGACAAAGACCATTTTCAACACTCTTTTCCAACAAATCCAAAGCACTATGAAGATCTCCATTAACACAGTACCCCTTCATCAAACTTGTGGCAGCTACTATATTCATAGGAACACCATTATCAACCATTTCATCTTTTAACCTTAATGCATCTATCATATACTTCTGTTTCACACAAGCTACAATGACATTAGTATAAGTTCCCTCAGAAGGAACCCATCCTTTTTCCTTCATCTCATTCAACAATGCACATGCTGACATGGCATCTGGTTTCTTGCAAATAGCATGAATAGCTGTACTATATGTTATTGCATCGAGTTCAATCCCATTTGCCTTTGCATCCCAAAAATACTCTGCAGCTTCTTCAACTTTACCTTCATGGCAACTCCCACGAATTATAACTCTAATTGTAGCACAATCATATGGAATTTGCATCCTTACTATATCATTGAATGTAGCTCGAGCTTCAGTGAACATATTATTCCTAACCATTGCATTCAAGAGAACATGGACATATGGAACACATGGAATGATATTTTTTTCAATCATTTTCCTGAAACAAGTAACAGCGTCTTCCAATCGAGAGGCTCGAACCAAACTACAGAGTAAGTAATTTATAACCCTAGAATTTGAATTGTAATCAAATTGAAACCTCTCTGCAGTAGAAACAAATTGAGAAACGAGCTCACCTGGCCCAGGAAATGCAAGCTCTGTAACACATTTGCTAATCAACTTCTTAGCCGTTCCATAGTGTTTTTCTGAACAGATTAAGATATGGACAAGAGCAAGAAACGGGTCACTAATCTCGTTATCTCGTATAATCATTTTTCTCGTAGCCCATTTAAAGTGCGTCAGGGCGAGATTTGGGTCATTTCTATGAGAAAGTAGAACTTCTGTGACATGGGTTTGAGTCAAAACTTGATCTTGTGAGAATGGTTTTTCGGTTTTCAGATTTAGTGACTGTGTATGATTGGGTTTATCAAAAGATTGGGATTTTGAGATCGGAATTTCGTGTTCTAAGGACGGATTATCGTCGGAGATTGAAGAAAATGATGAAAGAGGTCCTTTTATTGAATGGGGTCGAACAAGAAATGTGGAAATCAATGGAGGAGGGAAGCGAGATCTCATGTTTGTTCGATTATCGGAGTGTTTTTCTGAAACAAAAAAATTGAAGACAGAGAAACAAAACCCTAGTTCAGTAGCTCTGTTAAACCATCATGTTTACTTTGAACCTCTGTATTTCCAAAATGTTACAGTTAACACCCCTACTCATATTGTTACCTTTATTTTGTATCAAAGACAATAATCCCTATAAATCTACAATCATATCACACACATTAAATACTAAAATAAAAGCATAGTTCATTGTCTATACCCATTACTCAATCCTAAAATCAGTTTATGAATCATTGATCAAAATCTATGAAGGAAACCAATTTTAAAATAAAAAATAATCCAAAAACATCGATGGAAAAATGTTGTGTTGTTGCTAGAGAACCATCATCTCTGGAGAAGCCTCGATCGCCACCAAGGGTAATCGATACTGTCGTTAAGTCACTTGTTGTCGGGTTTCCTGCGTAGGCCGAGAAGGGGGCCAGTCTTGGTGTTACAGTTGGGCCTAGACCCAACAAGGTGGGTTGTGGCTAGCTTGACCCAAAGCTATCATGGTTATAGGGTCGAGGCAGCTAAGGCAGTGGGTTGCATTGTTGAAGGCTTAGTCGTGGTTCCAACAATTGGGTTGTTAGGTCCAGTGGCAGCCCTGAGGGTGTGCGAGTAGTGCGGTCGTACAGGGCCTCCGATTTTAAGGGGCCTCCAAATTTAGGGACATATATAGTAATGATGTTGGTATTTTCATAAAATACATTTTTTTTGTGTTATTATTAAAGAAAATTAGCAGTTAGCTATATACACAATGTAACATTTGGTTACAATCTTAAAATAATTTTAACTGTGAAAAAAATCAACGAAAATCAAAAAATCAACGAAAATAAAAAATTCTATAATTTATCCACAATTTCAAGAAAATATCTATATCAGAAAAATACATATATGTTTCTAATATGAGTTCAAGCAAACATTATAGTTTTTTATTAAACTCACCAAAAATATTAAACCCTAACACACCTAATAACAGCGTCAGTAGATCGTCAATGTTGTTCGTCTCTCTTTTTCTGGAAACTGTCATTTTTCTGTCTTGAATCTTGATATTTCGTTGAGTTGTTTGTAGTCGCCTTGATCACTTCTAAGCCCTCTAACTGTATCCCTGACTATAGTGAGTATCACTTATCTCTTTAAATTTCCAAAGTCGCAACCGTGCTTGAGTGCTTTCCCTCCTAGGCCAAATGCTCCTTTTTGTATGAATGATTTATTTATAAACCCATAATGACGCAGGGAAAGTAAAATAATAATAATAATAATAATAATAATAATGTTTTTTGTTTATCTTTTTGTGTAGTATAGTGTCTTGTGAATTGTGTTTTTCACTTTATCATTGTGTTTTATTTCTTTAGCTTTTCAATGTTTATTATAAAGAGGTTACAATAAGACATTGGTGGATTTTAGGGTGGTGGTGGGGGAGGGGGACAATAGGCTTCCTATTTTTTGGCTTATAATATTAATATTATATAGTCTAACAATTAGAAAGATTAGAAAACAAGAATTTTGTTTGATGCTCTCACTATTTTAAACATTAACATTTTGATAAACATATATTGTTAAGTTATTAACATTGATTTTTTTTAATTAAAAAATATGCATCTAACTATAAAATTTGAATAGTTTTAATTTCTAAACATACAAAAAATCAAAAAGAATAATTTATTCTTTGCTAAATCTATTAATTGATTTGTCGTCTAACAAATTTCGAAATACCATTGTAATGAAGAAATAGTTGTGGAAGAACATAAAAAAGAAGAAGCTAAATTGCGTGTGCCAAAAAACATGGATGAAGTTCATGAAGTTGTGGAAAACCTAAGTAGTTCAAGATGTTGTGAAAGAACTCAGAGAAGAAGAAGTTGAACTGTAAATGCTAGAAGATATGTCTTGTGTAGATGAAGATATAGTCATCTTGAATTGTAACGGTGATGACAAAGAAGATATTTTAGTGAACATCAATGATCCTATAAACCGGAACATCTACTGAGCAGAGACATGAAATTATGGTAGTGAATTTATGAGATATTTATTATCAACTTTGACTTTAGAATATAGTGATAAAAAAATTTATTTAATAATATTTAACAAGAAAAATTTTATGGGGCCTCACCTTGATTTTCGCACAAGGCCTCTAAAATGTCAGGGTCAGGATCAGGCTTGTTAGGGTCGTCTTCATCATGTTCTTCCCAAGCCTAAGATACTAGATTGACATGTGCTTAGTAGGAACAAATTATAGCACTATTTTTGTATATTCAAGGAGCTAGCTTGGATATTTAGAATCCTTTTTGAGAAGTTCGAAATAGTTAGACTTTGTTTTGATACATAGTTTCTTGCCTTGATTTTCATGCACTCGTATTTTTTAACAAACTATTTATGATTTTTGAAAGGACTTTTAAGTTATGGGACATCTTTCGCAAAGTTAATACCAAATACGATGGGTTCCAGCTTAAGAATCCACTTTTTCTCTTAGTTTCAGGATAATATCGAAACTAGTGTCAAGACTTACCTCTGAATATGGAAGTATTCATTTGTTTGAAGAAATAGTTTGATAGCATATCTAGATTAAGTATTCATTCTGTCTATGTTAAGTCAAAAAGAAACAAGCATATATAACTATCTAGATTAAGTGCTTAACTCATTAAGTCAAAAAGAAACAACCCCTTAGCCCATCAACTCCATTAAGCAAAAAACTCAAACAATACATACTACATAAACACAATCATATCAATACAATATAAACAAATCTTTATACTACATATGGTGCCAGTTTCAGCTTCATAAAAATGTCCACAACACCAAAACTATGATGACTCACTAAATAAATAATGAAGCAATGGAGCAACCACTGCTACACTTAAACTGTTTCCCAGCAATGCATAACTGCAAAAAAAAAAAAAAAAAAAAAAAAAAGAAAGATACACACTTTAATCGTAATAAAAATCATTTAAAAATACAAACTTCTAAATCATAACTTTGTAAGGGTATAAAATGGAAAAAAAAACAACATACCGTTGTCGAAGAGTCACATGTTCTGGGAACTCAAATTCTTTAGGGAAAGAGTGTAAATTGGAAACCTACAATATGATTTTTATTATAAAATTAATAAAAAAGAAAGTCCATAATGAATTAAGTATAATAATTAAAAATTAATAAAACCTACAAACCTCTCTAGGGGTGAAGTATCTGAGACAAAGTTCCTCAAGTGTTGTTTTGTCTCTTGTAATAGGCTGCAAATAACCATTTGCATTTTTCAGTATGATTCTTTCTATTTTTTTTCACAAGAATGATAGTTTATATGCAATAAAAATACAAATATAATGTTTGTGGAAAATTACCATAATAGTCGCCAAAAGGGAGCCAGTTCCCTTCACATAACGATAATAACTCTTTGTAAAACAACAACACCGCTTTGAATCAGGATACACAATATCTATTCCACTTTAAGAAACAACTTTTGCATCATTTTGAAAAAAAAAAACCAATAAGGGCAAATTTGTAAAAAGTTAGGACTTAAATGGGAAAAGCCTCATTCCTCTGTCTTTTTCTCTATTAAGTCGTTCTTTCTATATCAAGTCAAAAAGAATCAGATAACTTCAAGGATACCCATAGCACTCCCCCATCTTTCTATCAAATTTGATGGAACCAAATACTTATTTAAAGAATCTTCTTCATCTGAAAATGTTCCATTTTTGCCCTTGGAGTTTACAAATTCCAAAAAACTTTCTATAGGAAGGCATGTTTGTAGCATCTCATTATCATTTTCACCAAATAATGGTTTTGGCACATAAAGAAGTTGTCCATTGAACTCTGGGTTGCAGAAAGATAAAGGTTTTCTTTTTGCCTGAAAAAAATTAAAAAATGTAAAACCAATTTTTTTTATTTATTTGGATCCATTTTTTCATTAATGGTGTGTAGAAATAACATACAAGGCAAAAGTAACGGGGACGTGAGTAAGGGACACCAAATTGCAGTGGGCTTAATATGAACTCTTGTGTCACAAATTGGTTTTCTTTGAGTATCTGAATCATCTTCTGATGTGTATCAGATGTCTGAAACAAAACAACAAAAACGGTATATAGAAAATGTATCTATTAATAAAAAGATTGAAACTTTAGGTTGAATCTTGATTTCAAACCTCAAATCCAACTACATTTTCAACAAAGAGCATGGATGGAGGTAGCATCAGTTGTGGTATGATTTCAAGAATTTGAAGAAAAGAAAAGGCTCGAGCATCAGCAGATTGTTTCTGAAGACCTAAAAACAGGCTTAGCTTGGGGATAAATTATAATCAATGAATGATTATTTGAAAAAAAGAATAGGGAAATGTGATAAAATGTTAAGATCTTACCTTGTCGTGTATAAGGTTGACATGGAGGAGAAAGAAGCCACACGTTTACTTTGTAACGATCAAGATCGGCAGCGGTTAAGGTCTGAATGTTGCCCTATATTCATCCCCAAAATGAACAGAAGTAACTATTTGATCCATTTTGATAAACATTGTTATGAGTTTGTACATTTGTATCGATTCATCACAAAATTGAACTTGAAAGAAGAGCAAGCAACGAAAACTGTGATGCAATCGTTACAAGGAATTACCATAGGCTCGTTATAGCTCGTGAACTGTATTATCAAAGATATACCTGAAATGGCCGATGCCCAAAATTATGCTCATAAACATCATTAGCCAAGTCGTTTATGTCGAAAGCTTCAACCATTTTTTGCATTCACTCCGGCCTTAATCGCCGAATATCTCTGGTCAATTCCACCATGCCTCAAATGTTATTAAAAAAGCAATCTTGAATAAAAAGCATTCAAATGATTAAAGAGAGCAGGGTTAGGTTGGGTTACCATGCCACCAACGCCGCTGTAAAATTCGAGCAATCGCCATGGCTGTTCTTCGCGCAAAGCTTTTTCTTCCATGAGTAAAGAAATTATTAGCAAGTGTTCCGTTATTTGCCGTTTTTTAGGGCTTTGAATGACAATGTTAGGGCTTTACTCTTTAGGCATAATCGAATATTGATATAATATTAAATATAAATATATCTACAAACTAATCGAATATGGTAATTAACAAATACTGTAACAATATATAAATAACCAAGAATATTTAAACTTTCTCAAAATCTTGAACATCTCAAATCTAAATGAAAAACTATTCATAAGCCATGACACACTTGTAAAAATTAAATTATGAGATTTAAGTACATGAAAAACTATCAATTGATTTTTTAGATGTTCAAAATTTTGAGAAAGTTTAAAGCCTTAAATACTCTTGGTTATTTATATATTGTTATTTGTTAATTGTCAAAAATAATATTATTTAATAACATTTGACATGTTATAATGGTTAATGACTAATTAAATTTATAATAATATTATTAACAGTCTATTTTAAAATAATTTTTAGATAAAATGTACACATGGAAGTTCATGGAATGATGGTAGGCAATGCAAATGCAATTTTGAAAATTATTTAACCATTTATAATCATTGAAAATGATATCCTTTTTGTCTCTCTCGTCCCACATAGTCAAGAAGTGTATATTGATAACTTGTATGTTACAAGTGTTATTGCATATAAAATGAAAGATAGTTGTAGGGTGATAAAGAAAACTTGAAACAATCCCAAATGAGAAATTAAATATCATCCTACTTTTTGTTCATACAAATCCTCCTACCCAATTAAATAGTGACATATGTAATATTTAATGTTTATTTAATAATATTTTAATATACTAATACGACACATGTCATAATTTAATTGGATAGTAGGATTTGTAGGAACAAAAGTAGGATGAACTTGAGAAACTTGGGATTGGTAGGAACAAAAGTAGGATGAACTTGGGATTGGTGGTACCAAGACACCATTAGACGGTGTTCTCACCAAAACTTGTCCGCCACCCCTTCCCGAACATCCACGAAGGTATTCCGCCAATCCTTATGGGATTGAACTTGGAAATATAGATTAAGACAAAAAAAAATCTGGATTATTTTGAAAATAATATGTAATTATCCTATCCTTAAACTCTTTCCATTTTTATAATTTGAAATGTTTTGTTTATTTTGGTAGTTATTGACCTAAAATAAGTTGCTAGTTATGATATATTTGGTGTCAAAAAAATATGTATTATTCACTTTACTAACACATGTTATATCTACGTTGCAATAAAATAAAAATGGATTCTCGTCCATACATTATGGCCTTTTGTTTTGGTAAAGATATGGAAAGAAGACTCTCCCTTTAGACGATATACTAAGATATCGAAGTATATCGCATACTCTTTTTTGAACAACTTCTAGTTGAAATCATCAAAATTTGAATATTTGACCTCCTTTATTGAAAGCCAATGTCTTACCGAGTAGGTCACTCCTACATTAATAAATTAAAATTTTAACAATAAACAAGTAAATTTTTTTAACAATAAACAAGTAAATATTTTGAACGACAATATTGTCATATTTTGTGAAAAAAAAAATCATAGCAAGTACAAAAACATTTAACCAAAAAGTAACAACCACACTCTAAAACTTAAAACTACAAGGGGCAAAAGTGAATTGTGGTAAAAGATGATTAAAGGGTTTTTGTTTTCTTTCATTGGGAACCCACAGTGATAACACCACATCGCGCTCGTTGATTGTTTTCCTCAGGCGACTGCTTCTCTTCTAACATCGACGGCGGCATTAGCTCTCTCCGGCGACCTTAAGGTATCTATCCTCTCCCTATGTATATAGTCATAAAACTTACGATCAGGTGCCTCGGTGGGTTGTTCTTGTCGATTTCCGCATTCACTTGTTATTTAGGGTTCTAATCGAGAAAATGATTCAGTTTATAATCGAGAAAATCCTCAATTCTAGAATTGTTGTTTAACCTAACAGTCAAATTGAGTTGTTAATGCAACCAATCGAGTTTCTGAAGATAGTCGGAGTTATGGTTTAATCTTTATAAACAGTGATTGATAAAATGGAAGCTCAATTCTTTCGGTTTTTGAAGATCGTGGGAGTTGGATTCAAAGCTAGAGCGGAATCAGAAGGACGTTTATTGTTTCTGAAGCTGGGGTACAGCCACGAAGTTGAATTATCAGTGCCTCCTGCTGTTCGTGTGTTTTGTTTCAAACCAAATATCGTTTGTTGCACCGGAATTGACAAGCAAAGGGTGCACCAGTTTGCTGCCGCCGTTCGCAGCTGTAAGCCACCGGAGGTTTACAAAGGCAAAGGTATTATGTATGTTGATGAAGTTATTAAGAAAAAACAGGGCAAGAAAATCAAAATAACTTTACGTTTGAGCTTCTGATTTCTTGGAATTGCTTTGCATTGGATTGATTTGTGTCTAAGAAATGTTTTGAATAACTTTTTGGATATATATGTACTTGGTTTTTATTGCAAATTTGTTGCTTTTGATAATTATGTGGAACTCGAATGGGTTGGTTTTTGTTTTATTGCAAATATTGATTTTAATTTCAAAGGTTATTGTAGTTTCCAAATCCATAGATATAGTTAGATATGGTCCCTAAGCTGTCTAAATTTTTTGTTAGGTTTAATGGGAAAAGACTTTTTTGCCCTTGGGACAAAGTCTTTAGTACTATAGTAGAAACTCCATTGCAAAAGGATATAGAAGCAGTAGTGCTTGCTTACCAGAGTACACGTCAAAACTTTTCAGAAATTTTACTATCTTTAGAACACTAGCTTTCACATATTAGGATGTGTTTATGTTTCTAATGACAGAACCATATTTAGGGGTAAAACAAAAGCAATACAAATAGAATAAAACTAAAAGGTTGAAATCCAAATTCCAAACAGATTCTGATTCATGAATAATCAAACAATAGCATTTGGATTAGTAAGCAATCCAACTTCAATCTGTCAAATACTCTTCTTGTAGTCAAATAGAAACGAAAACAAAACAAATAACGAGCCAAATTTCAGATAAACAAAAACAAAACAAATAACGATATTGGGCCATTACATTCAAGCCAAGTAATTTTTGCCGGGGACGAGGATACTGCGAGGCTGTGACGAGGGTTTTTTGACGCTGCGAGGCTGTGACCGGCGAGGCGGCGACGGGGACGACCGGCTGGAGTAGTGGAGTTGATCTCGATCTGTGATGAACACGGAATGAAATAGAACGAGGGTTTTTTGACGAGAAAATAGAACGAGGGAGGCAGGGAGCTGGGAATGGGATTTGGACTTTGGACGAACATGGAATGAATCACTGATAATAATAAAAGATATTGGGCCATTATTTGTTTAATAAATTTTCGGGTAATCGGGTATACCCGAAACTCAAAACATTTACCCTTTACCCGACCTGAAAAAAAATCGGGTTACCTAAATACCCGAAATTTTTTACCCGATACCTGATTTATCCGACCCGATTTACCCGATACCCGAAAAAATAAGGCGGGTAATTCGGGTAACGGGTATTTTTGACAGGGCTAAATTGAACCAAGTCCTTATCGTCTACATGACTCCATCAAAACCTCCAGCCTCAAGCACTCTCCTTCTTACCATCTTCATTTATGCCAACAACCACGCTCCTATCATTGCACATGACTCCATCATACGACAACTCATCGGCGACTCTATAACTTCCGTTTTTAGAGATGCCATTTGTTAGTATAAAATGATGAATTTCATTATTTTGTTCCTACGCTGAGCGTATGTGAGCTACGCTAAGCGTAGGGCTATGCTGACCGTAGGTATGTCTACGTTGAATGTAGGTATTTCTACGCTAAACATAGCGCTGTTGTTTGCACAAAACCCTAGATTTTGGGTTTGGGCTCTATTTAAGCATCTCTAACTTTTAGGGCTTCTATGGATCAACCTCTATCTTCTAAAGAATGAAACCCTAGCCTTCATTTCCCTCTCCTCCCTCCTTTTGCTTGTTGTGGGTACCATTTTGAGAGTGTTCAAGGAAGTGCTATTCTTTGGAGCTTGAGTGAGTGTCTCCAGAAGAGATCCAGCTGCTTGTGCATCTTGTGGACCTTTGTAAGTCATCAAGCTCCCAAAGTTATGATTCAAGTTTTCTAAATCTTTCATATTATGGTCTTTGAGTCCTTTTTTGTGGTTTTGGGTTGGAGTTCAAGGAAGAACTCTAGATAAAGCTTGCAACTTTATCATTGTTAAATGTCCTTAGAGTGTTCTATCTTTTAGATCTGGAGTTTGGACATGTTTTGGTGTCATGTATGGATTTAAGGTCACACTTTCACCATTTTTGACCTAAAAGGGTGTCATGTATAAATACAGTAAAAAACGGATATCGTATGAGAAAGTTATGATTTTTATACGGACTTGAACAATCTAAACCTATTAAAAATATAACTTTAAAAATAAAGTCAAAATTAGCCGATGGAGTCTAAATGAAAGTTGTAGATCTTGTCGATAGCTACGTGTGGATATAAAATATGTCAAAAACGGAGCGCATATGAAGAATATATGAATTTTTAAAGAAAATAAGATTTTTCACGCGCAGCCACAAGCACAGACAAGAGGCACGACGCGCTTCTGACCCACTGTAAGATTTTGATACGTGTCACGAGCCAGACGACGCCACGTCAGCGCCATGACAAAGTACGCGACACGCTTCTGCTTTTTAGCTCTATATAAACTGCATTTTGCAACCTCATTTCTCACCTCTTTCGCCCGGATTCTCTTTGGAATTCTCTCATATCTTTAGCCATTTACTCTCTAGTTCCTGACCACTTCGGCGAAGTCCTGCAGTGTCAGATAGAAGGCGAATAAAAGCTCCCAGATCAGATTTTTGCCTGCATAATTCTCGCTTTTCGCTAAAAGCTCTGTAAGTTAAGCTACATTTATTTTATTAAAGCGTAACTTTTAATTATAGTCATAATTGTTATTATGAACCTATAATTAAGATTTATCAGGGATTCCAAGTCATTATACTGATTTATCTACTTACGTGGATGATGTCTAGGCTGGATTTAGTGAGATGTTAAAAGTGAGATTTCCAAACAATATACTTTGTATACCAAACAGACCATACCTCCGATATGATCTTACCTGGTTGTTCCTTACTTGATATATCTTGATGTAAACATTGAGATTAGTGAGGAATCCAAACTATCATTAGTTGCCAGGAATATAAGACTAAGATTTAGTAATGTGAACCTACGTCATGTCAGAGGAAAAGACAAGTACCAAGGCAAAGTTCTGCTCAAATTCTGAGGCATCCACTTTTATCAAGTGAGTGCATAGTTACTTTCATCTCACACGTAGATATGAAGTATTTAGATAACTGAATGTTATATGTGCTTATGTGCAAAGATGTTTTGCGTTAGATGAAATATTATAAAGATAAATTTATATGATTTATATCGTATATGTATTTTTATGAATTATAATAGATTGGGTAATGAAGGGTAATGAAAGGTAAACATGATAAGTTGCCATAGTACGATGAAAGAGGAAAATGATGATAGGACGTCACAACTTTAAATGTATTATTGTACTAACAATGTAAGAACTAGTACTATTATACTAATGATGTAAAAACTAGTACTATTGTACTAACGATGTAAGAACTAGTACTATTTTACTAACGATGTAGAAACTAGTATTATTGTACTAAATAATTTAGGAACTCGTACTATTGTACTTACGATGTAGTCATCTAATAGAATATATAGGGCAACCACAATAATTACAACGATGGTCCTTAAGATACGAGGTAATAGGAATGAGTAATCGGGTTAATTGTTTGATATGAAATACATAGTTAAATAAAGGGTAAATGTCATTGTGACCCAACCATCTTTCTAGTTATGGTTTAAATGGTCCCTATTGTTTTTTTTTTCGCACTTGAGAGGAACGAAGACTTAAAAAACAGTTTTTAAAGCCATTTTGTTCAAAGTGGAAGGGTTGTGCCGGTTAACACTATCCTACTTAGCATATTAGGTACACACGTCATCGAAATTAATCCACCTAAGCTGCCATGTAACCTGCTCGTTTACTGAGCTTGCCCTACAAGACACATTTTATAAAAACCCTCACGCTGTCTTCTTCCCCTTTTTTTCGTATTTTTTGTCTGCAAAATCACGTTGTCATGGTGGTTTACATGAAGATCGATCTTCACTTTGCTGGGTTTTTTACAAGGTACCCTGAAATTGGTTATACGGATGGAGCAGAACAAAGGTTCGAAGATGTTGATTTTGCTGGAATGGACATGAACGAGTTTGTTAACTTCCTACAAAGATTTGCAAATGAAATGTAAATGTTTTTTTTGCATGCCTGGAAAAGACTTTCCTGGTGGATTGAGGATCTTAGCTAATGAAATAGACTACCAGGACTTCATCGAAGCTGGGTATGCTGCTGGTTATGTCGTGGATGTATAGATGGATCATCTAGGTGTGAATTTGCAACAGTGGATTATTGATGAGCAACTTGATGAGAGCGTTGTGGAAGACAATCATTATCAGGGATTTGTGCAGAATGGCCCGAATGAACTGCAAGGTAATGTACACGATGACCTTGAACACGTAGATTGCAATCCAATGAATAAGACCATTAACGATGAGTTTTTGAGCAAGCTATGCCCAAAAGTGAATTCAACTCCAAACAGTCCACCTCATGAGGATCCATATCTTCAAAATGGAAGACAATGAGGTAAATCTTGAAGAGGTTACTACATACAATGGAAATGTGCATTGGAGAAAACAAAAACCTGTGTTAGGAATGCGATTTCATAGTCCAAAACAGTTAAAGCTTATGTTATGTAATTATGCTGTTGCTAATGAGTGTCGGTTGTGCTACAAAAAAATGACAGTAGAAGACTTTTAGTTAAATGTTGTTCTGGGCAGTGTAAGTTTAGGCTATGGGCTTCATGGATGAGTGAAGAAAACTCTTTCCAGATTAAGTCCCTTATAGATGAGCATAATTGTGCTAGAAATTTCAAACTTGGATCAATTGTTAGCTATGCTTGGATTGGTAGCCATTTTACAACTGAGTTCTTACAAAAACAGAAAATGAGTGTTAGGATGCTTAGGGAAGAGGTGAAACAGGCTTTTGGTATAGATGTAAGTATGGGTCAGTGCAGGAGAGCAAAAAAGCATGCTATTGAGCTAATTGAAGGCACGTTGGTTGATCACTATTCAAAGCTTTGGTCATATGGTGAGGAGATAAGAAGATCAAACCCAGGATCAACTGTGAAAATGGATGTCAATAATATGCAAGATGGGAAAATTATTTTAGTAAGTTTTATGTATGTTTTGAGGGACTAAAGCAAGGGTGGAGGGGCAGTTGTAGAAGAGTAATTAACCTGGATGACTGTTTCCTTAA